AATAATATTTTCTAAAGCTAATATCCAATAAGATATAAAAAATTATTTATTCAATTATATTGTGATATGAAGTGATTAATAATAAAATTTACTAATATTCTACTAAAAAGTTTATATTACAACAATATTATAAAAATGAGAAAGATATATATTATGGATATAATATAATCTTATTTTCTCTTGATAACTACTCAAAGTTAGATATATATAGTTAATAAATAATTATTAACAGATAGATAAATTATTTTTTCTTATTAATTTACTGTACTTTATTTATTCATAATCAGAAGGAGAAAAAAGAAAGTTATTTATTATTATATATTATATTTCTTTTTTTCAAGTATTAAGAAAAAAAACTAGAGAGAAAAAAGATTTATTTTGAAATATATTATTATGGAATAATGAGATTTTATCTCTATAAACATATAATATAATTTTTTTATGATAGATATACTATATCTATTATATATTAATTAATAAGATATTAATCATAATACTATATATAATATAAAAAAATCTATTTCAAGCATATTAATTAAATATATATTTATTAATATACATATACTATAAAAAAACTTTATTTTATTAGTTAAAGTATAATATTAATATTATAGTTAATCATATAAATTATACAAAAAATTTGAGTATAATTTAGTAATATAACTTTATTATTTATATTTGAAGAAAATTAATATTATTATCAAGGTAAAACTATATAAGAGATATTTTTAAAACTTTATTAATTATATAATCAATATTATTCTGAGATAAATTTAAAATCATTATTATATTAAAAGTTTTAATCTAATCTATTATTTTCTTTTTACCAATATTATTAAAAAATCTAAAATTTTTTTAGCTTTTTCTTTTCTTTTTTGAAGATTGATTTCAGTAAGTTTATCTTGTACAGAAATCTATTTTCTAATTTTATTATTAACTCTTATATTAGATGCATATTTTTCTATAATAATTGAATCATAATTTAATATTTTTTCTGAGAATATAGTAGTAATAAATCAGATTATAGGTAATTTTCTGATTATTATCTTTGATATTAATAATCTTATCATATAACTCATAAAAATTAACTGAATTTTTGTTAATTTCAGAAATGTTTAATTATAAAATAATTATATTACTAGATAAGATTTTCTGAATGAGAGTTATTAATTAATCTTTGTAATATAGAAGAGTTTTTTTTTAAAATTTGTCTTTTTATTTTCTTACTAGATAATTTGCTAGTAAATTCACTAATATACTTTTCAGACAGACTTGAGTATTAAGACAGACTTGAAAAGAGAGTATTAATAAATAATATCAGAAATATATCTATCAAATTATTAATATATAGACTTCCAGATGTAGCATTAATTATAGATTCTATCTCTTTCTTACAATCAGATCTTGAACATATTGAGCATTTTTTGATAAATTTTTTAATGCAATCATGATAATAAATATATTCACAGATGAGTATAATAATTAGGAATTTTATTTCATACAAAAAAAGTTTTCAGTTACATAATAAGTATAGATTTAGTTCTGAAATATTAACATCTTCTGCAATTTTTTCTACAGATGAATTTTTTAAAATATTTAATACAAGAAATTTGAGAGATGAGATATTAGCAAATATAATGAGATATATAATCAAATAGTAGAGCTAGTATCTCTAACATATAAGTTTTCTATATACTTAACTTATTTTTTATATATTATATTCCTTGTGACTAACAAAATCAATTTCAGATATTATAAAAGCTAATTTCGGATTTGATGATCATTAATTACTTCAGATCAGAATTGCTCAATATTTATAGAAAATCATAGATAATTTCAGTTGAAAAGCAAAGATTGGCATTAATTTCACAAAATAGTAATGAATTAGCTTAGTCTCTTGTGATAATTTCTAATTTATATATCTTGTAATGATAAAAATACCTCTTATTATCACATATAAAATCAATTATCGGAAAAAGAATGGCGTAATACAGATAATCGATCAACATATCATATACTATATTACAGAATAAAATCGAAGATCATGGAACTTTTCATACATGATATAATCGGACGACCTGTTACTGTGACCAAATTTCCGAAATAAAATCACATGCCTCCGGAAAAATTTCTGCCGAAAAATAATGTGATACACGTATTGTGTAACCGAATACATAGTGGCATCTCAGATACTAAATTCCGATATTGGTTACCTTTGCTAATCGTGTATTTGTCACGTGAAAATGACTAACAATCTGAAGTTAGACGCGATATACCCTCTTACACGTTGTTTTTCTTTTTGCTGGTATCTCCTCCGACACGACGGCTTTTTTTCCTTTATTGGACGAGTTCATTTTTTCTTTTTTCACAAGAACATGTCTTCACCCGAACACTACCCTGGTTATATTGGTAAGTTTTGTGGCTCAACTTGCGATCCGAATATTTTCTTTCTAAGCTTATGTCTGATGTTTCCAGCTCTTCTCTCTTACCTGAACGAGCACACAAGCTGGTCGTACTGCGAGTGTTTGACTCTTTACCGTGATGTGATTGTATCTTCACCTCTCTTTTCGGATGAGTGAATGAACTCGACGGCTCCTGGACACGCAGGTTCCTAAAAAAAGCGGAAGACCTCAAACCAGAAGAACTTGAGGATTTAAAGGTCAAGGTATCTTTTTCTCTTGTTTAATCTAGGGAGCTTCTGATCAGTCTGCGTCCTGATCAGGAGTATCAGTCTGCGTCCTGGCCCAAGTGATGGTGGTGGCACTCCTGATCAGTCTGCGTCCTGACTCAGGAGTATCAGTCTGCGTCCTGAGTCTCACTATTGCGAATCTGCATTTTCTTGAAGTTGTTATTTGCTGTAAGCTCGCCATTGTATTGTTTTTCATTTACTTTTCATTATTGCCTTTCATGCAACAGGTGGATCTTGAACGTTCAGGCAAAGGGTTACAGGCCTATTGGGAGGGTGTGATCCATAAACGGAAGAAGGTAAATCGAGCTTTGTATATTACTGCCTTTCATTCTTACCAAGATGTCGCTAACCTTGA